AAGTTATAGAGGTCATGAAAATGAATATAAAATATTTTAATTGAATATATAAGTAATACTTAACTTCAGCCGGAATTAAGATTTTTATAATTCCGGCCAAATTTAAGATTTACCGAATCACGTTACTTAAATTTTATTGGTTCCCAGTCACGTGATCCGGTTTATCGAATCATTTTTACTATAGCTTGTTAGAAAATTGATCCGTTATAGCGAATATCGAGCTTTTACTAGTAAACTCCGGTATATCGAGCCTATTTTAATATACGTGATTTGGTTCCAGCAAAAAAGTCCGGTTTAGGCCCAAATCCGGTTTATCGAATATCCGGTTTATCGAATTTCACTGTGTACTTACTTGCTATCTGGAATAATCAAATCTTGTTGAATACTATAGTAAGCTTCTAAAAAGATAGTTAGTATTTAATTATCTTATTACTAAATAAATTAGTTAAATTACCTTCTTTGCTCTTCTGTTGGTTCAAAGACAATAGATTTTAATATTATTAATTATAAAAGAATTAATAATGAAATATAATATGAAATAATTTACCTTCAGTAAAATTCCTTGGTTCTGGCATTTCTCCAAAAATGTGTATTTTACTAAAACTACTGATTAATGAATTCACTGAATTGAGACTAATATTCATATTTAAACAATCTAACTGTTCATCATTATTATTTTGATAACACAATTTGTTGATTTCAAAAATTTCATTATCAAGATGGAAAATATTAGGTCTTTTTGTTGAATCAGCATCCCAACATTGTTCCATTAATTTTTTATATTTTAAAGGAGTTCCTGGTATTATTTTTGGTCTCATTCCATTTATTATTTTTAATGCAAGATCGAAATCATTATCAGAATTAATAAAAGGTGGTTGTCCGGATGAGATTTCCCACATAAGCATACCGATACTATAAATGTCAGATGCAGGGGTAGTTCCTTTTCCAGCAATAATTTCTGGTGCTATATATGGAAGATTTCCATATATACCATTTAATGGTACATCAGCCGGTCCACAGAATCCAAGGTCACATATATAAAATATTTGACTATTTTCATCAAATAATATATTTCCAGAATGCAGATCCCTATGAATTAATTTCTCTTCATGAATATTGGAAAGTGCAAAAATTATATCATCAGCAATTTGAATTTTTCTTTTCCATGTAAGATTATTACTATTTTGTCTCTTAAATTCATTTTCATTTTATTCATTACAAGTACATAATTTCCATTTGATGGATCTTTTGTTAAACCATAACATTGTACTACTGATCCATATTTATTGCTGATAACAAAATGTGATCTAGTCTGAATTTTTAATATGAGATTTGTTAATTTTTTTTTTTTCAATAAAATCGTAAACCTTTTTATTTAAATTAAACATTACCTCATCAATTTCTATTTGTATTTTCTATATTTTCTAGCTTCTTTAATACTACTACATGTGCACAAACCCTTTTTAATTGTTTTTCTTTTGAATCCCATTCCTCATATCTTCCATCAATCTAATCTGCTGTATAAATCTCAGAATATCCACCTTTAGTCAAATATTTAATATTTTGTAAATTATTATATGGTATCCATTCTATTATCTTATCAGGTGAAACTGTTTCCATTTGACATTTTTGAATTATGCTATCAATCTTTTCATTCCAGATGTCCATTTTGAAAATTGAGCTTCTAAATAATTTCGGACACAATGCTCACAGTATAATTCAGCTAAACATTCTTTTTGACAATTTACACAATTTCTTTTTGTTCCTTTATTATCAAGAATTTTAAATCCATCAAAGTCCTTACTTATTATATTTATTGCTCCTAACTTTTCGTTATTTGTAAGTGATTCGTCTGTTAGAATGATCTGTTTAATAGATTCATATTGTTCTTCTTCATTTTTATCATAATCTATTAATATATACGCTCTGTTAATTGCGGCACTAACTAATTTATTTCTATTAGAAGACATGATTTATATATATATTATTATTTGAGGGTGAAAGTTATTTGAGTTGTTGAATAACTGATTCTATATAAAAAATAATCGAGATCGACAATGTACACAACGTATGTCACACATTCATGTAGACCTTTTATAGATAATTAAAAAATTGTTAGGTATCCCTGTAAAAATAACCGAGATCGACAATGTACCCATACCATATTCATGTAGATCATTCCTTTTATAGATAATTTATATACTGTAGCCAGTAATTATTTCCTTTTTTGGATACTGGCTGGCATTATTTTATTCGTTGGCTTCACCTTTACCTATATGAGAGATTTTTCTACCGGAAATTTTCATTTGAACAGCATATCAGTAGGGCTTTTACATTTTGAAAGGCCAGAAAAGTTCAAGTCTTCAAAGATAAGTAAACAATATTATGTCGTTGCGAAAGAGTATATAATAGGACTCAAAATATACATAAAAAGGAAAGGTCAGACAAAAAAATCATAAAAATCTTCTTTTTTTAGATAATGCCAAAAGCTATTAATTTTTTTAGGTAATGACCAAAATTATCATAGTTCCGGCTCTGAAAAATGCGTATGGCTAATAATAAAGTCCTTCAAACTTTTTATGTGTTTCGGGTAAAAAAAAAAAAGAACCCCATCTAAATTCAATTGAGCTAACTGCAAATGATATTACATTACTATAATTTCTTTTCATACTATAATGTTTAATAAAAATGATAATTTTAGATCCTTTAGATGATGTTAAGTGAATGTATATAATTTGAGCCATCCAAAAGTATATCTAATAAATTCAGCATTTAAACATACAAATTGTTAATTTTTAATTAAATTAATGCAACTAAACTTACGCATTTTTGAATTATATGTTTAACAGTAACACTATATTGAAGAACTGATAAACAGAAAAATTTAATTTTCTTAGTTTATGAGCCTTTATCATATGACCACTTTCATTATAAACGAAAATATATATGATGGTTCGAATTTATTTTCATTAAAAAAAGCTGACTTATAACGTTTCAAAGTTAAAATTTTAATTCTTAATTAGTATTTAGCTCTTGATATATATTATTTCTTTTTCATTGAGATAAAAAATCAAAACATTTGTTTTTTTTTTTGTGCAATAATGGCGCAGTAAAGCTTACAAGTTCATAATAAATTAAGTAAAAAAGCCAGCCACACAAATGTCATTAGTTCACCTTTTATTTAATAAATACCCTGAGAATTCGTCGGAGAATCATTGAATCAAAATCTAATGAGTAATGATAAAACCATATTAATCATTTTTTTCGTGTACTGATAAATTACGCGATTAATCACTTTGGAAAAATACACTGCGGATTCAAGTTGGCCTGATATATGTGGTAAACGTGAAGACTCTTCACACCTCGAAGTGATACAAGGTTGAAAAACGAGGTATTACCTCATCAGTGTCGTGTAAAAAATTTTTTTTATTAATGCATATATATATATATATATATATATATATGTATGCGAAAAATAAATACAAAAGTTCGGGGCTTGCCCGTGATACATGACGAATTTTATACATTTCTATCCTAAGCCCTATCTGCCCCTAAATTCTAGTTCGATTTTTGCTTGCTTCTGCGCCTCTTCCAATAACCATGCAATATGTCCGAGAATTCTTTCAACATTTCTTTCCATATCCTCATTACCATACACAACTATTACCGGCTTCGATAGTTTAAATGTTAGCCTATCTTGATCATCAAGTAAACATTCTAAAAAATACCATTTTCCGCATCCATCTGTGACAATTCAATTCCAAAAGTCTTGCCCACAAACACACTTTCCTCCTTCATCTCATCTGCCTTACGCTTACGGTTTGATAAAGCTGATTCAAGTTGAACGGCATTCTGAGCATTACCCTTTAAAAAATCTTCGTTCTTTACTTCTGTTACGCCAACAGTTTTTGCGGTTTTGAAGTAAATCTATTGCGAAATCGACTGGGCCATGCCCATTTGGTCCTGTGATGTTTTTTTCTGGCAGGTGATTTATCATAATACATACGATAATATATAAAAAAATCAAATAAAGCTGACAATGTTGATAAAAAGTACAAAATATCTTGACCAATAAATATTAACTGAATTATCAATTACGAGAAAAATCTATATTAATGATTAGACATAAGATTTATAATTTATTTCTATTTTTGTGAGACAAATTGATGAGAGGAGTTGTCCTATGATCAAAATAATTTATAACTGCGATGCATCACAGAGAGTTCTATACTAAAGAGGTTATTAGTTAAAGCAATATAATAAATTTGTTATTTCTGTAAAAACTCCGTAAAAATGAACTTTTCACGGATCCATTCACGGAAAATGTAAATAATTCGATAAATTTCGATGATATAAAGTTATTAATTCCGGACATATGAGCCTTTTTACGGAAAAAGATGGAATATAAAAAACGGATCGACTTTTTTACAGGGGCTGTTAACGCGGGAATACTATATAATAAAAAAAATTAATGTCTAAAATAATAAGTTAATATAAAAATTAATAAGCTTACTAAAGCTAAAATTAACCATTTCACTCTATTTAATATATTTACGATAGCAAAGATTACAAACTAAATTTTTATTTAAGCAAAATAATCTTTTTTATTAACTGATTTCATACATATACTATATGTTTATTTGGCGAAAAATCATACCTGATATATATAATAAAGCTTACCACATTAATTATCATACTCGAAGTCCTCATGAAACATTTTGAAAAAACAAATATCATACATAAAAAATAAGAGTAAAAAATGCGCCCGCATCATAAAAAAAAAGACTTTAATATAAATCTATCATATTTCCGACTTTTAAAACTTGTAATCTTTGAATCACGATACTTATTTAAACCTTAAAGAAACTTTTTTATTCACTAAAATACGATCTTAAAATAAAAGTTGCATAGCACTAATGAACTATTTAATTTATTTATTTATAATAATGACCTAAAATTTTTTTTATCGATTTCTAAAGTTTAAAACCTTTTAATTACTCGAAATTAATGATTGTGATTGGGTTTTTCTGCTAATTGATACATACAATATTAAAGAGAACCAATTATAATTTTAAAGTTGTATTTTAAATTAGTCTTGTTATTATATTATAAAAATTTGTCATTTGGAGCGTTGAGGTTATTATGCCAAATTTTACATGATGCCAAATTGGCAAATATTCAAATGTTGGTATCAAATGTAAAAAAAAAAAAATGAATTTATGTTGCATTATCGGTTTCATTATCCAATCCTTGAAGTAAATAATGAATGATACAAAAAAAAAGTTTAAAATTGTCTTTATTTTATAATCATGAAAAATATGAACAATAAAAGTGATATAAAATGAAGTACATCATCTTTATAATAAGCATTTAATATATTGTGTGTATATTCAAAATATAAAAAAAAAGAGATGAGTTCAATCCATTATCACCACATTGTGTTTGAAGGAAGGATCACAACCCGGCGTATTCCACATTTCTTTGCACTTCATGCAATATTGTGTACATCCTTGGGAATTTAATTTGATCGCAGCTTCTTGACACATTATGCACTTTTCACGTGCTTTACATCCAGGTTTATTCTCATCTTGTTTACAACATTCGTATCCGATCGTACAACCAGTTTCTATCCATTCTTTTTTGCAATTATCACATTTTTCAATACAACCTTTTTCTCCAACTAATTTATTACACCTCTTACAAGAGATATTTTTTGTCTCATAATAATATACAGTTCCTCCGACACAAATAGTAAGAACAGTTACTGACGTACCTGCGGCTGCAAGAAGATATAAACCTAATGGCGGGGCTACACCACCTTTAGAACCACTCGCAGAACCACTATGTCTAGCAAGAAAGGCTATTGACGGCAATATTGATGATGACACTACTACCTGTGATACTTTTGACGCCGCTTGAGATACGTGCGAAATTACTTGTGACATACGAGACGGTTGTGACTCTGGTGTTGCTTGTACTTGGTTAACAGTCAAATCTGGTTTGCATACTTCAATAATTTCTTTCCCTATTTCACTTGAAACTTGTGACGCAGGAAGCTTTGTAGGATTGGTACCGAGCATCTTTTCAAAAAATCTTTTGATTGAAATTTCATCAGGTTCATGATCAAGGAACTTACTACCCGAATGAAAATGAACTATTCGTTCAGGATGAAAATATTCGATTTTTATAGAATGGTTAAAAATTAATGTAGTATGACATTCTGTGATGAAAAGCCTCGGATCACCGATCGCATTACATTTTTGACATTTTCCTTGTTTAAAGTGAACTGATATTGGACTAAAATTTGGAATCAAATGTTGAATTTTTGATTTTATTTCGTTCTCACGGTAACAATTAAATTCGAAACGAGCTTCAGAATCCATTTTAGCCCATCGTGCATTGGTGTTGCCATTGATATCATAGATCCAACATGGAAAATGTTTAACGAAGAAAGAATCGTCATCAATTTGCATATTAGAAAAGGTCTGACAAGCATTCTTTGCAGCAGATTTTGGACCATTAATTAACTCATGCGATAGGAAAGTTCCCTTTGTTATAATCAAGACATTTTTCCATAAATCTATTGGTTTATATCCATCAGTATATTCGACAAAACGTTGGATAAAGTTAGCCTCGTGTTTTAGGGGATCCATTTCTCTCACACTCTCAGGGCAAAACCATAATATTGTATCGATATTAAAGATATTATTTTTTCCATGTTTCTGAAATAAACGCATTATATCATGAAATATTTCTTCATTTGTCGTACCAAATGAATCACCAAATCCACAAGTATCAATATAAAAAAATTCATCCGTTTCATATATTATTGCTTTTTCAGTGCCAGATTCAATACCATTTGAACCCTCAACGTCTATTTCACAAAGTAAACGGGCCATTGTTGTCTTGCCAAGGCCTGTGGTGCCAATGGCAAGAATAGTTTTCTTCATTTTTTTTTTAAGAAATATTTCTAAAAAATATTTTAAAATTTAATAATGAATAATTAATAAAGTTGGAAAATTATTTGTCTTAAATATTCGAATATATGATAATAATTTGATGAAAAAAAAAAAATGGAAAGAAACGGTCAAAAAAATTTTCATTGTCAATACTTGTTATTTTAAATATTTTTATGCACCTTATTCTCCGAAGATAGTCGTACAGCATTTGATGATACCGTACCGCAGTAATTACTACAGGCAGTGTCTGTGGCACCGACCAAAATTTAGCGATCACGTGACATACTTTAAATCATCACCCACCTGAGGGACTTTGTTTTTTCTGAGTGGGTATCGGTGCGACTGGGGTAGTTTACCAATTCTTTTGCGAGGAAAATATATTCTTGATTTTTTTTTTAAGAGAATTTTGTAAGAAATATAAAAATCTATTAAGCTCATTTAATAAAATATTATCATTTGGTTATTTTGATAATATACATTCTCCAACGAACTTATACTGTATGAATACTCGCATTTAACTATAAATAAAATAATAAGACAAAAACCCCATAATAATAGCATACGGTTAGGTCCCATTTATTTTTCCTCTTTGTTATTATGTTTTCTTTATCCTGTAAAAGTTGACTCAAGGAACATTTGTATGTTTTCTCAAATAATGTGAAAGGTAAGATGATTTTTACCAATTCGAATTTTAAATAAATATATACTTGTTATTCAACGGATAACTGAAGAAATAATTAAAATTGTATATTATATTATTTAGATTATTTACACTTTTTATTATTATTATACTGATTCATCATAACCCTATCTACTAGTAAGAAGTTGCAACAAAAGCTGATTTATCACATGCTATACTTTCACTATATCACATTATTCTGTTCCAACCAAAGTACTCAAATAAATATAAAAGTGAAGTGGACATTATTTTTAAGATAAAAATATAGTAAAAAAGTACAGCATAAACGTTATTTAGTTCTATAAGAACAATAAACGAAATAAAAATGTATGAATTGCCTTTTTTTAATTGGATACTGTATATACCCATTTAGTTAAAATGTACAACTCTAATTATTTTGTGTATTAAGAAAATTAATATATTAAGATCATTAATACAACCTTATAAACAAAGTTACGAAGCTATTTTTTATATTTTATATAAAATATTTGCCGTTTGGTATGAAAAAATAAACCTTTATACAGTATATACTGTACTGTATACAGTCTAACCTCGATATACCGATATTCGGTAAGACGAATACCAGTGGTGTAGGGTCGACCACCTGTGTGGTGTATGGTGATATTTAGCAGTGTGTAACAGTGTGTAAAATAAGGGGCGTGAACCATACACAGGTGATGAATAGCATTTCGGCTCACTCCAAATCACGTGTTTGGCCCATCGTGTTATTTACCACTTGTGTAAACTGTCATACACTACACATCTCCTTGACCCTGCATATGCCGATATACTATTAAAAACTTGATATACCGATAAAATTTTATTTTCCCACTATATGTGAGGACATATACAGTAAATATCGGTATAACTTTGATATAACGATATTTTCTAAAAATTTTATATATGTCCGACATATCGTTATATAAAAGTTTGACTGTATATAGATGAGATTTTAAATCTAAAACACTAAAAAATTTACTAGTTGATGCAAATAAATGATTCTTAACTTTGCAGACGTTGTTCATATTGAAAATTTGAAATAGTCACATAGTCGAGTAAGAGATTTGGACATCTAAAAAAATATGATTATTTTATGATTGATTTAATTTTCGATCAATAAAATTAACCGAACTAAAAGTTAAACCAACACATATAGTTTTGATTCAACTATTTGCCTGACTACCCTAGCAGTCGCATATGACCCCGGATAATTATAATAAAGGTCATATGCAAAAAAAGTATATAATTTTGCATTTTTAATGGAAAGGTCATATGAAAAAACGGGTATTTTAAAAAAAAGTTACATGTCAAAATAGAGTACCGCCAAATTAGGTCACAGTAAAAAAAGTATATAATTTTAGACAAAATTTTAAGGTCACATGTGATTTTTCTAATAAAAGCGTATATTTAGGAAATATCATATGCAATGTTACATCAATTTTCAATATAAATAGCAAATGAGAAAAATACATTTTATATTAGATAAATTTATCATAATTTATCAAATTTACTTAGTTGCTTTGGCTCAAAATGATGGCACAAAAACTGGAAATTTAAAAACTAAAAGATGGCAAAATAGAACATGTTTAGAAGTATTGGAAAGATATCAAAATGCCTCAGGTAAAATTCACTGGTTATTGTTTGCAAATTTATATTAATTTATAATTTATATTATAATTTATTTAGCTTTGCTAAGCATTAGCGTTGCAAATGTTACTTTGGAAAATTCCACCAATCGTGGTGGTTATGCATTTGCACTTTTGGGATTAAAAATTTGACTTGTTCAATTTTTGGCTATGTATCATAAATTAACAAATTATCATTCTTATGTTGATAGTACTAGCTGTATTGATTCACTTTATTATATTTCAGTACATGTTTATATAAAACAGATTCCAAATATTTTTGGATGTTTTCCAATGGATGAACCAAAATATGTTTTGTTTTTACATATTCCTAGTTATTTGATCATTATTATTTAGGAAATTGCGAAAATATTACTGAAAATATGGGATTTTTAATTGTAGGAAAAAAAGAAATGGCAATCTATAATTTTTTTAATTCAATTATAGATAAATTACAATTGATTATTGCTACAAAGTCGATTAAATGATGATGCTGAATAAATTTAATATGAAATATAATATTGTAAAAAAAAAAATATTATTAAAGTCATATGATAAAAAAGGATATTTTTAATACGTATAAAGGTCATATGATAAAAATGTATATCAAAACGGCAAAAATTATGTATATTTCATTGAATTTTTAATTAGTACTGCGGATGTGACCTCTATTATAATTATCCGGGGTCCTAGTCGCATCGTATAAGTCATTCGGCGATATATTAAATTATGAGAAATTCTAATAACCCAAAGTTATCTGTCCACTTCATTCAGCTGATTGCTTAAATAATTTAAAAGTCTTATTACAATTGCTACTGTTAACGCAGGTACGTAGAAAATAAAAATTTTCCCAATCTTTTAACGTGTAAAAAAAATCAAGTGATGAAAAAAATGTAAATTTATTAAAACTCAATGCAAACTATATTCTTATGATAAAAATTAGTTTGTACCCCCTTTTCAATCAAAAGAATTATTTATTAAATGATTTCATGCATAAATGATACACATCCGAATTATTTCTTTCGTTGAACTAACCTGGTTCCTAAAATACTAAGGTCCGTGCGCTTTTATTTGAGTCACGTGACGACATTCACATGACTCTTCGCAACACTATTTCTAATTTATGAAATAAAATAATAAAATTCGAATATAAAGTGATTTTATAAAAATCAGCGCTCAAATTATTAAATAATTTAACAAAAATAACAAAATAATCAATTATTTTAAAAAAATTAAAAATTTCAAAAATTCGGTAAGGATTCTTGGACGATATTTCACATCAGTTAAAATAAGAGATTTGGCATTCTCATTACTTTATATACAATAAATTATGAATTTTTAAAATCAAAAAGCAAAAAAATAATCCGATCCTGAATTTTTTTTTTTTCTTTTTTTGGAGAAAAAAATCAATAATTCCGATCATTATTTTAATTTAGTATTAAAAATAGCTAGCCGGGATCAATAAACTTAAGCATTATAAGCGAATGATATTCAGGAAAAATATTTAAATCTGTTAAATCTGGATCAAATTTATTTCTGTATCACAGCCAAAGATTATATTAGTAAAGTCCTTCTGTTAAAGATTAATTAATCGTGATTGTGATTAGGATTTTTTGTTAACTGATATAATAATACTGAAGAGAATAAAAATATAATTTGAAAGTTGCATTTTAAATTCTTCTTATTTTATACGAATTTGAAATATTCAAATGTAGGCATTATTAAATGTAAACGAAAAACAAAAAATTAAATTTACGTCGCATTATTGGTTTTATCTTCCGATCTTTGCGGTAATTATTGTGGCCAATAATAATGAATTACAGAAAAAAAAAATTTAATTGTCTCTATTTTTATAAGTACAAAAAAAAAGTTATCTTTATTTAATATAAAATATAAAAAAAAATATGTATAATAGAATAAGTATTACATCATTTTTTAATAGACTTTTAAAATAAAAGACAAAGGAAAAATGATGAAATTCAATTTATTATCACAACATAATGATTGAAAGAGGGATCACAGCCCGGAGTCTTCTTCCACTTTTCTTTGCATTTCGCGCAGAATGGTGTACATCCTTGGGAATTTAATTTGATTGCAGCTTCTGAGCACATTATGCATTTTTCACGTGCTTGACATCCAGGCGCTTCCTCTTTTTGTTTACAACAATCATATTGAGTTTCACAACCAGGTTCCTCCCATTTTTTTTTACAATTATCACATTTTTTAATACATTCTTTTTCTACTCCAATCAATTTTTTACATAATTTACATGGAATATTTTTTGTTTCATAATAAAACACAACTCCTCCAACACAAATGGCAATAACTGAAGTACTTGCAGCTGAAAGAATTGCAGCTGAAGTTATAGTGCCTGCTGCTGCTCTGGAAAGGGCCAATGGCACCATTGGCACTACTAATCGTATTGCCTTATACGCTACCGTCGCTACCTTCAAACTTAATAGTGACACACGTGACAGTTGAGACTCTGATGTTGCTTCTATTTGGTTACTAAATTCGTACGACTCAATAATTTCTTTCGCTGTTTCACTTGAAACCTGAGATGCAGGAAGCTTTGTAGGATTGCTACCGAGTATTTCTTCAAAAAATTTTTTGATTGAATTTTCGTCAGGTTCATGATCAAGGAACTTACTACCCGAATGAAAATGAACTATTTGTTCAGGATGAAAATATTCGATTTCTATAGAATGGTTAAAAATTAATGTAGTATGACATTTTGTAATGAAAAGCCTAGGATCACCGGTCGCATTACATTTTTGACATTCACTATTTCTAAAGTGGACTAATATTGGACTAAAATTTGAAATTAAATGTTGAATTTTTGATTTTATTTCATCCTGACGATAATAATTATCCGGAAGTGGACCGTCTTTGGAAGGACGTTTGATATCACAGATCCAACATGGAAAGTGTTTAACGATGAATGATTCTTCATTAATTTGCATACTAGAAAAAGCCTGACAAGCATTCTTCGCAGCAGATGTTGGACCATCAATTAACTCATGCGATGGGAAAGTTCCCTTTGTTATAATTAAGACATTTTTCCATAAATCTATTGGTCTACATTCGTCTGTATATTCGATAAGTCGTTGAATAAATCTAGCCTCACGTCGTAAGTGGGCCATTTCTCTTACACTCTCACAACAAAACCATAATATTACATCGATATTAAAAATATTATTTTTTCCATATCTCTGAAATAAACGCATTATATCATGAAATACTTCTTCATCTGTCGTGTCCGATGAGTCATCAAATCCACAAGTATCAATAAATAAAAATTCATTCGTTTCATATATTATTGCTTCCTTAGTTGCAGATTTAGTACCACTTGAATCCTCAACGTCTACTTCACAGAGCAAGCGGGCCATTGTTGTCTTGCCAAGGCCTGTAGAGCCAATTGCGAGAATAGTTTTCTTCATCTTTCAAGAATAATTTCTTAAAAATTATTTTACTTTTTATAACCCAAACCCTGAAATAATTATTAACGTTATCATTATTTATCTAAACACAAATAATTAATAAAGTCAATGTTATCATTATTTATCTTAACTATTTTAAGCAATAAATGGACTCCGATTAAAGTCGTACAATTAGATGATAGGTAATCTACTACGCCACACACGTGTGAGCCAGAACAAAAGAGCTGATCAAACATCGACTATCCTTATTCAGGACATGAACATGAACAACAAACTAAACAAATAACACCAATCAAAATATTAAAATTAAAAGATTTTACAAAAATTTATATTACAAATTGCTTAAAAATAATATTATTGTTATCAAATATTATAATATATAAAATTTTCCATTTTCTACTCGTAAAATGTTTTAGCATCTTGATCTACTTTGTTTGGCAGATTTTTCATACCAAAGTATAGCTTAACCAATATTTTTCTTTACTCCTTGTCCTATTTCATAAATTCGCGGTTGCTTTCTGATATAATTAAAATGCTTTTTGTCTATCAACTTTAATACCAATTCCATTATTATAACAATAAAATTTTTTTTATTTTAATAAGTAATCCTACGTCATTACTGCGGTACTGCGGTTAATGAAGATAAATTTGACCTAGTGAGTAGATATTGTACAACAATAATAGGCATAAAATACTTAAAATGGGGTTATTTTGTTAATAAAATTTTTTATTGTTTTTCTACCAATATTATTATTCACTATGTCCGATAATAAGCAAATGCAAAATGAATGGATTAATTGGATTGAAGAAGCTATTGATAAAGAACATTGAAATCATTATGAATACAACCAATTTACTAATATTCAAGAAATTGGTTCTGGAGGTTTCGGAAAAGTATACCGTGCAAATTGGAAAAATACGAAAAAACAATTAGCGTTAAAAACTTTTTTTAATCTTAATCATGTCACCATGAAAGAAATTGTTTGCGAGGTAATTTATTATATAATACATTTTTTTTACGATGTTTTTTTAGCCTATATTATTTTATTTTTAATATTTGAATTTATTTTAGTTAAAAATTCAACGTAAAGTTAATTTCCACGATAATATTATTCGTTGCCTTGGAATAACAAAATTTGAATCAGGTATTATAAATATTATAATGAGACTTCAATAAGTATTATATCTAAATTTTATTCACAGAATTTCATTCCAATTTTTTTTTTTAGACAATCAAATTGTTAATAATAATTATATAATGGTAATGGAGTATGCTGACGGTGGTAGTCTTCGAAATTATTTGGAAAAAAACTTTACTAGTAGGCTCACATGGGACGACAAATTAGATGTGGCGTACCAATTAGCTTACGCTGTATCATGCTTGCATAATGAAGGGATCATCCATCGTGACTTGGTAATTTATTTATTATTATTTAATCATACTGTATTTGTATTTATTTATTTAATATATGTTTTTCTAATAGCATTCCGGCAATATATTGGTTCATCAAAACATAATCAAATTGGCAGATTTTGGGTTATCAAAAAGAATTGGAGCATCATCCAATTTCCAATCTAAACTATTTGGGATGGTTCCCTATGTTGATCCGAAAAGCTTTAGCAAACGAAGAAATAATAATAACCAAATGTTTTCATTAAATGAAAAAAGCGATGTTTACAGTGTTGGCGTATTATTATGGGAAATATCCAGTGGCCAACCTCCATTTTATGCTGAAGGTGAAGAATATGATGTTAGTTTAATTTTGGAAATTTCACAAGGTCTTAGAGAAACGGTTGTTCCTGACACGCCCGAAGAATATGTAAAAATTTATACTAGTAAGTAAATCTTAAATTTATTATAATTTAAATATTGTTTTAATTAATATATTTGTGTTTTAGAATGTTGGGACGGTGAGCCAGATAATCGTCCTACTATATATCAAGTAGTTGATTTGTTAAAAGCAATGATTACAAAAACCGATATAATTACGGAAAATCCTCCATTATCAAACGAGCAAGAATTTAACGAGATCCGTTTAAATATCAATAATTTGGAATCACAAGGAGAATTATCCCAACTTATTCAAAATTTTAATAAAACGGACACAAAAGAAATTGATAATATAATAGCATCAAATAAGCAAGAGAAATATTCAACTGAAAAAGATTTTAGTATAATAGTTGATAAAATAAATGATTTAATTTATAAATCCTATGACAAAGGAACTGAAGGGGAATTAGCAAAAGAGCAAGTTATTGAATATCTTGATAATTACAATACAAATTCACAGGAAATTCATAATTGGTTACCAAATAATCAAAATAATTCAAATTCTATTTTTTTACTTGGATATTTTAATTTTATGGGAATTGAGACAAGTGAAAATTATGAAAAAGCATTTAATTTATTTATTAATGCATCAGAAAAAGATCATATATTAGCACAACTTTTTGTTGGTGGATGTTATCAATATGGACATGGAACTAAAAAAAATGAAAAATTAGCCTTTGAATATTATGAAAAAGCGGCTAATAAAAATCTCTTACGTGGACAACTTAGAATTGGTTATTGTTATGAAAATGGAATAGGTATTGAAAAAGATCTAAAAAAGGCTTTTTATTGGTATGAAAAAGCTGCAAATAATGGAAATATATTAGCCATGCATAATTTAGGTAAATGTTATAAAGATGGATATGGTGTTGAAAAAGATTATAATAAAGCTTTTGAATTATTTAAGCAATCGGCTGAAGGAGGGTATTCAGAAGGAGTAACAAAGTTAGGATATTGTTATGAAAGAGGTATTGGTACTAAAATTGACAAGCAAAAAGCATTTGAATTATATAAAAAATCTGCAAATTTAGGAAGTTTAGTAGCACAATATAATGTTGGTATTATGTATGAAAAGGGAAATGGAATTACAAAAGATATAGATAAAGCGATTTATTGGTATGAAAAATCTGCCAAAAAAGGACTTCAAAAAGCACAAAATAAATTAGAAACACTTCAAAAAAAATAAATAAATTTAATTTATAATAAATTAAATCATAATATGTAAATCAATTAAATCACTAATTATTTTTTTATTTTATAGAATAGTGTATACTAGTATACTAAGATATAGTAAATAAAAATCTTATCAATTTTTATAATCATCCTTAAGTATTACAAACATTTTTTTTTTATCAAAATATATAAATTTCTCTTTTAAATTAAAATGTCGTTCTAGGATTTCAAAATCCATGGGAATTTGATTTATTTTCCGAAAATTTGATTGTTTAAAAAATTTGATACTTATTAGTAATATTTTTTGAAACGATCGTATATATGGAAAAAAAAATAATGAAAGATGAAACAGTGCTTTTTATATCTAAAGCAAAAAAAAAAAAGATTTAAAATTTTTATATAAAGTAATACTTTTTATAAAATATAAAATATTACTATAAATCACGTATACGAAGAATAAGCATTTGTCGACGGCAAACTTAATTAAGTATCTACCTGCATACTCTTACGTCACTCTTGCTAACATACTTTTATCGACTTTTTACAATTATGAAGATTTTGCCAACGAACTATTTTTAACTACAGAAAAGATCAAACAAAATACCACTCAACATAATGAAATTTCAACTCAAAGTACGACAAATAACAACAATAACCCCTTTACAAACAACTACAAATAGAATTTCAGCACAAATCAAGTGTAGACAACATCTACAAACAAAACATATGGAGAATATGGATATTGTTAGAATAATTCCGGCCAATACTATATCAGATATGACAAATTTTCTATAAAATCACGGGATTACCCTCAATACTACTGCACGTGACCTCTCCCTTATCGTCAAAATAATCAAAGGAAAAAGTTGTACTGTACCCAAACTATTAAACAATCAAAATATAAAAAACAGCTTACATATACTTGGCGCTGACCATGTGCGCAGATATGCATCAGAATTTGTTATTTGTTCAGGAATATCGAGCAGACATATTTGCATAAATAGTTACCTTAACAAATTTTCGCCCATTGGATCCGATGTGGAATTACCTCAGATTCCATGAAATGACGGCAGATGGGTCCGGAAGATTATAAATGATTACAAATCAAAATATTCCAGATGTTGATCAATCGGACCTAGTTCACCAGCCAGAATCAATGGAATTAGGGGCGAAAATTCTTAACAGTAAATCCAAAAAAAAACCTCTCCCCCGCATACCAGCAGAAGGTCCAAGAAGAATTGTCTCTAAAAAAAAAGGAAAAATTTGTTAAATGTCAAAAAAAAAACTTTTCCCACTTAACAAAAGTGAAGTTTATACTGAAAAGTAAAAATATGTGTGCCTATATTTTTTTTTTAAAAAAAAATCATATCCATTTATGGCACGGCGTAAAAAATTCTGATGGCATCTATAACTGGATCCTGGAAAAAAATTTTAATGAACTTACACACACAGATGTTACCGTATTCAGCATTGAGCAAAAAGCAACAGAAATATCATGAAATCGTTTTAACCGAGGCCTCGCTTAACAACAATCATTTTAGATTGTTTCCAGGTCAATGGAAATTATTAGACATTCCCAGAAAGAAAGTAAATGAGAAATTCCAATTGTGGTGCTGCAAATTACTGTGTAAAATACTGGCCAACTTTAATGTCACGACCTGTAAACTAACAAAGACACAATTTGTTGTTAGGATATTATCATTTCAAAAAACATTTGAACAACTATGAACCAATACATAAACTTTGAACGTGAGTTTCATATCTCGTGTTTATTATTTTATTATTTTTTATTATTTCACGTTTATGCAACATATATTTAATTATTGCATACAATAATTCTGCACTCTCGTTTATTTAGGAAAAGAAAAAATACTTTTTAATCAATAAGACCATGGATTTTGCTCATGAAAAATACTAGGTACTCGCAAAATTCGAAGAGGAAACTAGAAAAAGAAATCTTGTGCGTCCACGTATAGAAAGTAACATGAAAATAGGAATTGAAAATTTGGCAGATTTTAATGAATTTTTCTAATGGTAAAATATTTAAAATAACTTCCTAAATAGGAGAGTAAAAAAAATAATAAGAGAAAAGGAGAGAAAGTTTGAGGTGTAGAGCTAGAGAATAATAAAATCTCAGGAAAGATTGCGTCACATTTACCGTACCACAAAAATATAGTATTAAATACTTTTTAATTATTGATCGCCAATAAAATTACTTGCTTTTAAATTTTTCGAATAAATCTACAAAAATTAATAGAATTATTTTTTTTTTGCTAGGAAACTGATCGCTACCGTTCACACAATTATGCGAATATATTTATTACCGTATGTTCTCATATAAAAATTATGCAAATGGAATTAAAAATTCGTATAATCAGTTTTTTTATGTCATTTGAATTTTATTATTAATGTAATATATCTTAAATACTAAATTGTAATTGTCTAATTATACAAATCATGAATTCTTAAAATTTAATAAGTAAAAGTTTTTTATTCTTTAATTGTTACATTTTCTGATAATCCATTATCAATATGTCTTAATTTTAGCTTTTTACAAATATCGTTACATCTATGATTTGCTAAGAAACATTGATTAATTCCCTCTTCGCCAAAATTTGTTCTTCCAAATCTTAAAGTATCAACACAATGTATCGCCGGATCAGTTAATAAGAATTCATCATTAAGTTCAATTCCTTGAAGATCACAAACCACTAAATATTTTTCAGTGTATTCATATGTGAAGTGGACAAATGCTTCAAGAGTAGGTCGAAGTTCTGTAATTACACCAGTATTTGAATTGAATCGTTTATATTCTCCTTGAAGTTTTGGTTCAATAGTATAATATCGAGTACGAAGGTCAATAGTACCGCAACGTAAAAGTTTCACATTAAGAAAATTTACTTTGGGAATATTTTTTCTTTCTGCATACCAATTAAATTCTTCAGAAAGAAAATATGTAACTGTAGAAATTTCTACCGCCTCAAGATACTTTTCAAAAGGATCATTCTGCCCGACATGAATGTATTCTTTTATTACCATTTCTTTTGTTTGTTGTCTAAATATGAAAGGCGTGAAAGGTATCGTACTACTCTTGATATCAAGAGCAAAATGTGCACATTTTTCAACACCTGCAGAAAATGGTTGTTGGGCGATCTTGAAGGAGAAACTTTCAGAAAAGAGTTTCGGTTTGTTGAAATAATTTGGGTTTTTAAGTTCGTTCAAGGTATCAGGAATGAGGTACCACATAACTACTCCTTTTTGCAATGGAAGAGTATCCCAATTAGGCTTATTTGGGTTCAAATCGAGCTTTTTTTGTTGCAAAGAATATATATCCTTAGAATTATTTGAATTGCTTCCAATAGTACTAGTTAATGAAAGAGCATAAGTAATAGATGATGAAGTTGCCTTAATAAATTTTTCAATTAATTTAATCGGATCTCCTCCTACAAGATCAAATACTGGAAATTCTCCAATTATACTGCGGAATATTTCAAGCATTTTATCAGTATTACTTTTAATTTTACCAAAAAAGTAAAGGATATTTCTTGATTTCATCATATTTAGTACGCTTTCTGCGGTTAGGCCATTTGGATCACCATCTGGATAGTTATCTCTTAAGGTCGTGAAACGACGACCATGTGGTGGATTATCACCAATATGAAGAAGAACCTGAGTACCATTTTGCCAATCCATTTGAGTTATTGCTGCGTTAAGACCTCCAAGAACATCCTCCGGACTATCATTATATAGTGAACTAACAGGTTTTACGTTATTATGCATATATTGAATAAATTGTTCATGTTGATCGGTAAAATCAAAAATTAGCAGTCGACCAGAATTATTATTATGATCTCGATAACCACATAAACCAACTCGAAATTTAATGCTTGGATTTGTATGTATAATGTATTTTGTCACATGTGAGATACAATCTTTAACAGCAGCAATATGAGGCTTCATAGAACTAGTGCAGTCTAAAACAAAGCAAAGATCAACTTTCATTGAATTTTTGATATTATTAAGTGCTTTAGATACAGCCTTTTCTCGTATAAATCTAGTTTTAGACTTTAAATCATTTTCTGTATTAGCAACTAACGTTTTGTTAGAAGTATCAGAAGATAGAATATTTGCTTCATCAGCATAGCGTTTCAGACGTTCTTCAGTGATGTTTAATTTATCTAAATCATATGCAAGCGAAGAGGGAACAGAAGAAGTGGATGTCGTATTAGAAGTTTGGGTGTTTGCATTTTTTTTCGAGTTGCAGAACCACTTGGACATGTTTTTAATGTTGAAAATTATTGTATCTAAAAATTATTTTGAAGAAAACTTGCGTATTTTATTAATATGGATTGACGCTTGGCACTTTTCAAATTAGGACAGATAATTATGTGGTTTTATAATACCCATTTAGGAAAATTTTCTTTTTTCTTTTTTTTTTTTTTGTATGTGTAGAACAATGCATTTAGGAAATTTTTTCAATGTAACACTTGAAAATCATTCCAAATTATTGGATATAAAGATTAATTTGGCACAANTAGATTAGTCAGTGTTTCCTGTAAACGTTAGTCTTTGTGTAGTTTAGTTAGAAATAGAGGTTTTTTGTTTAGTGTGTAGAAAGTGTATAGGCTGTCTCTTATACACATCTAGATGTGTATAAGAGATATGTGTAGAACAATGCATTTAGGAAATTTTTTCAATGTAACACTTGAAAATCATTCCAAATTATTGGATATAAAGATTAATTTGGCACAACGTACGCAAGAAAAAAATAGTAATATCCGATTAAACATTTTCTAGAATCAACAAGTTATCTTTTTATGCTATTTTACATTGTTTTGAAATTCGTTCTATAAATATAAAAAATTTTGAAATCCAAATATAGTATGTAAATGATATTATTGTGCACTGCTTTAGCTGCATGACATTTTAATTATTTCACCATTTATTACAATTGTTCCAAAAGAAAATCTTGTCAAAAAACTTTGTATTAAATGCTCCCCAATCATAAAAAAATCTAAGAGGAAGAAAAAATTATTTGTAATTTTATTGGTAATTATATAATATAAATAAAAGGATGGTGTGGTCTGTTGCGTATACATGATATGGTGACACTGAAATTCGATGTGACGACTATCCGGATAATCCGCTTTAAATCCGAACCGAGATAACGGATAATTTTTTGGATGCATCATCCGTCACGGATTAATCGAATTATCCGTCCTGTGCAACGCTAGAGTCACGTGATTTTAATACCAATGCCAACACTAGGATTGCAGTAACTTCGGATATTATGATATTACAGATATTGTGAGTTTTCAATCAAAATGTGGAGAATAACAAAAGAAGCATACTTTTTGACGACTCTGGACATATGTGGGTTTCTTTGGACTTCGGGGTTTCTTGGGAATTTTTCGTCGCAAAAATTTTCAGGACGGCGCAGCAAAAATTTAGCACGCGGACGGAATACAAAAGCAGTAATGGAAAATTCGCTGAGGAACCAATGGGATTAAAGAGAAATGAGGTGATTTACTGTGAGATAAATTACGGCAACAATTTTATCTGAGGAGGATCAGCCAAGTCCGAAGTAATCACGTGATATTGGATTTTTGATACTGGCGAGCCCTCGAACCAATCGCGACTGTCGATTCTAGAATTATCTTCGTGTTTACTTAGGAGCTAAAACCGACTAGTCTAATTTCTTGGAGAGACGTACTAACTTTTCTTTTTGTGGGTTTCGACACATTTTGGAAGAGCGAGTAGTGAAAGAAATTCTCAGTATCATGTGGTTACATTTTTGAGAAACAAACACAAGGTTTTCTTTGACACCAGGCAAAATAATTTTTGGTTTTTTTGGATTTTGGTCAAAGAGGGCAAGAGAAAGGAACCTTGTTCTCAAGTCTCATGCTTTGCATGAATAAAATGTTCGGGAAAAAAAAATTTTAAAAGGTTTCTTTGATTTTTTTTTGTTTTGGCACGGAGATTGACGTGGGAAAAGGTCGGGCTTGGCGCTAGGATTGTAATTATCTTTCTCTAGATTAGTCAGTGTTTCCTGTAAACGTTAGACTTTGTGTAGTTTAGTTTAGAAATAGAGGTTTTTGTTTAGTGTGTAGAAAGTGTATAGGTTTTGATAGGTTTTTTTTTTATTATTTTGTTGTTTTGTTTGTATTAGGATAGATTAAATTTTGTTATCGTGTTGCACGTATGGTTCTAGGTATTTCGATGTTGGATATTTATCTTGAATAAAGAAATGCGTTACAAAAAAAAAAAAAAGAGTGAGTTTTCAAGGATTATCTATAGATATCCGGATCGCAACTCTATGACCTCAGCTATATTGTATGGACTTTAATATGAAATAGGGTACTATACTAACCATATTTGCTAATTTTTAGCACAGAGGTCATACATTCATACCATACTCATTATCTAGAAGCTTTGCACTTAATAATAGTCATTTTGGATCATATTATATAAATTATTTGAATTGATTCCAACGAAAGCTGTATCACTTTCCTCATTCCTTCTTCGTCTTTAAAGGATGCTAGAAAAATTAGATTACTTTTTAATTTACTACCTTTCCAAACATAAACTTGTATTTATCTAATATCTCCCTTATCGCTTATACTTCATCTTTGGGACATTATTGAAATATTTCTAATCTAACAGCAGTTTTATATTATATAATCATTTTTTTCTAGATATTATAGTTACATATTACCGAGGCGTTACTTTTATTTTCTAGCGTTATAGTTTGATAATTTTGTAAATAAGGTTTAATTTTTTTTTTGTTTTTTTTTCAAAAAATTTCCTATGGATTTAGTGGAATATTTATTTATTTATTTTTATTAGTCTAGGTATTTCAAGTAAAAGTATAAATATAAATAATAGTATTCAAAAAGTCATATATTCGTTTAACTTTATTATGTCTATAAAGAATTAAAGAAAAACAATCTTAAAAATGTCAATAAAGAAAAAATTAGAAAATTTTTACTATGTACTTAAATTTAAAAATTTAGTTGGTACCTATTTTATGAAATTACCGACTTTTATTTTAAAAATCGATCACGTGAATTTCTCTGTCCGCCACGTGATTGTCACCCAAATGAAAACTCGCAAATTTTAGTTTTTCGCTAAAGTAAGTTTTGAAGTCTTTGTAAAGAAAGAGTTATTTATAGTTGAACATTATTGATAATGATATAAGAAGGTTATGATGTGATATTGCATTGTGATTTTTTTATATACTTTTAGAAAATTTTAAAAAAAAAGAAAGAAAAAATGTAAAAAAAAAAGATAAAGGTTAAAAAGGATAAAAACATTGTAACTAGGATATTTAAAATTACAATCGAGAAATTAAATATTATATGTTTAATAATTTGTGTACTATTGAATATAATTGATAATTTTATCACGAATTACTTGATTGTTGACATTTTTTTTCTTATGGGCAATAGGACTATCTTATGGGAAAAATGGCCAAGTTCTGAAAAATTATTAATTTTAAACGAGTGGTAATTTTTACTAGTGATTTGTGGCTTTTGTAAATGTGACTGTGACGGTGTGACCTGTGAAACTATATAAGTTATTTCGTCATTTTTTCCCCATAGCTCTTGATTTCTCGTTCCTTCGTGTGTAATATAAACCTTTTCTTTTTCCTTCATATGTAAACCAATGAATATTATCAAGATATTTGCAAAATCTAACATAATTGAAAGAAAGTTTTTTGCTTTTTGAAATTTGCTTCAATGATATTTTATTTTTTAGTAGTTTTATTAAATTATCTGATAATGTGAAATGATAATATTGAATAATGATTTTTTGTAAACACAATTAAAAGGGCACCTCCATAAAATTGGAATCATGATTTTACACCAAAGTTTGTTTACCAACAAACAGGAATGTAGAAATTTTTCGTCTTTTCTGTTAATTAAATAATATGCATCTTGAAAAATGTAATAAAGAATATCACCATTTAATTTTGACCTGTTTTTTTTTTTTGTTATGAAAGAGTGAAAATAACAAGAAGTAAAGAAAAAAATGGTTATTTAAATTAATGATAATTGTAGTCATAATTAGTTGAAATTTGTACCTATGCGCAGTATCGCAAGTGCACAAAAACCAAAACATATATTTCTGTGAATTAAAAGGTAAGAATAAACTGAAACCCTTGTTTTGTTTTATCTATAATATGAAATTTATATGTTCAAGATTCGAAGAAATTCTAATGTGGAACCAGCGTTTTACTAAATCTATGCGGGAGTGAATGATTGGGACTTTGGAATATTATCAATAGTATCATTTATCATGATTCATCTTTTTTCTTGTATATATTTTCAAATCAAACTCAGGAATCATTATTATCCTCAACCGAGAATTCGAATTTCATCTCGTATTTACAGTATAGCAACAAAGACTTTCATCATGTTAAAAGAAAATTCAAGATTTATAAACTGCATTTTAAAAAAAACTTTGCGTCTATCACATTTAACTGAACATGATACTATTAAAGAAAAATGTTCAAAAGAATGGGAATTATTTTTATTTATTCATTTACGTTATTCATCATAAATGTGTTAATAGCTCATTTTCATTCTAGGATTGCTAGAGAACAAGTAGAATTCAATGGATATGTTATCGAAAATTTTCCACGACATGGATATTGGAAAATTTAATTAGTGATTTTAAGGAGCGTCCATCGATCAAGATTTTGTGATGCAACTGGAAGCTTCGATAAACTTATGGTTTTACTTTTGTCAATCTTCGTCGTTAAGAAGTATAAGAAGTACTATACCATTACCATATATAATATCAACTTAATTTCGATGATTAGACTGCTACAAATTATAGAAGAATAAGATTAGCGTCACTTTTATTCGCTTTTGCACAAGTGTAACGATATATTGTTAATATTGTAATAAATCCAATACTATCTTTACTCCTCCTTTCACCTTAATTTCATTTAACTAGTAATCTTGATCATGTGTTTAGTGTGAAAATTTTTTCTTTAAAGTCGTCCTTTCCAATAATAAAAGTATTTAAAAACTCTTTTCAAAACAAAATTTTTTAGGCAAGAAATTAAATAAAAAAATTTTTTTATTGAGATAGATTTTTTATTGAGATAGATACTAGTACATTTACTTATATAAATGTACTGGCCAAATATTTAAATTTTCTTATTTCTAAAATTTTTGAAATTAATATAATTAAAGAATCGCTATCTCTAATGTAATAAAGGTTTAAATAATAATAGTGATTATTATGGATTTTTCACATATTGATAAAGA